TCAATCAATCAATCAACAAAAAAAAAAAAAGGAAAATGGAATGAATCTTCCGTTAGAACATGGAAATATACAATACTGCGTGTGTGTGTGTGTGTGTGTGGGCCTGTTGGGGATGGGGGGGCGACCCCGCCCCAACTAATCAATCAATCAATCAATCAATCAATCAATCAACGGAAAAAAAAAAAAAAATGCAAAATCGAATGAATCTTCTGCTAGAACATGGGAATATACAATCCAACCTATGCGTGTGTGTGTGTGCGCGCCTGTGGGGCCAATCAATCAATCAATCAATCTATCAATCAATCAATCAAAAACAAAACAATTTTTTTTTATTTTTTTTTTCGAAATACCTTCACTCACCAAAACCCCCCCACACAAAAATTAGTTTTTTTTCATTTTTTTTTGTTTGAGGGGGTGGGGCTGGGGATGCGCCGCCCCGCGGCGCTTCCCGAATCCTGAACCCCCCTCCCCACTGGCCGCCACGTGGCTTCAAAGGCCGCGCGGCCGCGCGGACACATCCACGGGGTCGCGGCCAGAGAAACTGCCACTGCCACCAAACCCCACAATCACCATCTGCTGGCCCCCCTACTGCCGATGTAGACACAGAAGCGAGCGCCCAGGTAATCCGGCAGCAGACTCCTTTGACTGGGTTCATGAGCCTCACAAGAAAAAAAGACGAAAAAGAAAAGAGCCAGGAACTCAGATGATGCTGTGTCCCTCTGCTACCGGCTGTCCCCGGCAGGTGTCCCCCCATTGGGGGTTCCCTGAAGGCAATCAAGCCCACCCTGTGTCAGATAAGACACTATATTGAATTTACCTGGCTGGTTAGTCCGATGATAATACCTCAAGGCCGAAAAAAAAAAAAAAAACKCACTACTTGGCCAATAGGCAGGGGCTGGCATGCCCAAGGAACATCACCTTGCTTTCGGATTTTATTTTTTATATTTATTATTATTTTTCTTTGACCACTCAGTCAATGAAAATCTCCAAGCCCAGTGGTGGCCACGTGTCCTCCTAACCCCTGTCTTCTTTGTTTTTTTTTTTCTTTTTCTTTTTTCGCTCCCCAGTTTGGTCAAGACAGCCTTCACGTCAATGACTGGAAAAGCAAATACGAAAGCACGCTCACTGTGGGTTGCTCGTGCTTGATTGCTGAATGGAATTCCCTTGAAGGTTGAACTCCTGCCTTCGACCGAACTGAGGGCATGCTCACACCAGCACTTTCTTTAACATATCTGACAGCAATTACGGGTGGACGTGGACATCTCGGATGGCAATAATGACCACAGCTCAGTCAAAAAAGTCCTAGTGTGAGTCCTGCTTGCGTGGGATCATGACGTTTGCATTCGGGCACTCCCAAAAATAGACAAGAAACGGATGATGTCTGCCAAAAAAGACAAAAAAGGGATGATGGCTACAGCTTGGGTGCTGTCCCAACAGGGAAGAGGATTGGATAGAAGCAGGAGTCTCTACATAAGGGGCCTCGTTGCACTACGCTTGACTCACAAAAAAGTTCACGCACAGATCAAGAGCTCTCAGACAAGAGAACGTCTCACAATAGCCGTCTTAGGCGACTCTTCGCTGCACTGACTCTCGACGGCCCTACTCTTGAAGGATTCTTTATTTGTTTTCTTTTTTTCTTTCAAGTCTTGAATGCTACAGTGACTGGCCCATTGAAGAAGCTCTGTCCTTATTGTACTGGCTGACACCTGGCCGGTATCGCCCACCTGCTGGAGGGTGCAGCTCCCGCATGTTCCCTCGTTAGAGGCTTGAGCAGGGATGTGGCTGCTACGGGGCTCCCCGTAATACTATAATGACAATAAAAAGGCCTGAAAGGCCGTCCTGTCCAGATTCGACAGGTAATTGAATTGGTTGGGCTTAAAGAATTAGCCTTGTCCGCCCAGACTCGAGGCCCGCTCTTGAAAGCTGAAGAGCTCGTGAAGGGTTGGGCCGGCCACCCTTAAAAAAACCACCCTTGCAGGCAGGCACACGTGAACACTTCAAGAGCTGTCACAATCGGGCCTCAGCCGCCTCACCTCTTTGAAAAAGAAATTCATGAGCATCCGTCAAGAGT